TCTTAGTTGTTGCAAAAATGCAGATCAAACATGGTGAATACCAATTTTTTTTATTTTTTTATTTTCGTGAATACTAATTTACAATAGTTGAATAACTAAAAAAAAAATCCAAAAGACAGGCACAAGTCTTGGTGACAGTGTGAAGAGATTGGACACTGCGTGTTGCTGATGGTAATGTAAAACTACAATCACTGAGAAAACCAATCACCTCATTTCTGTAGCATAGACTTACTAACAGCAGCAGTTCTCCTCATTATGTAGACCTGAGCAGTGAACATACTCAGTACCCAGAACCTGCACATAGGTGTTCTAGCAGCTATATTTTTCAGAGCCAAAGAGGAGAAAAAACCCAAATGCCTGTCACCTGCTGAATGATATATAACATAAAGTATTCTTAGAATCTAAGTTTATTTGACCTTAGGGAAATGAAATGCTGGTAAATCGTTTCAAATATAAAACGTGAAAATGTTTTGCTAAAGCACAAGTGTTCATTCAATTTCTGAAAGAGTTGTATCACTATCAGTGTCACAGCACCAACCCTGTTCCACATTTCAGACACTTTACCTTCATTAGTACTTTAGATAATCTGTTCTCAGTAACAAGTAAAAGCCATTTTAGGATTCATCTAAGAAGATGATGGTGCATTGTGTGTTATAGCCTACAGATTATCCAAGGTTTCAACCCACTTTAACATTTAGAATTATTCCTGCTCTTAATTATTTCTCCACTGAAACATTCATTTACTTTCTACTTTAATTCTAAGACTATTGCCTTTTTTCTTGTGTACATGAGTGCTGTTAAATAGAAAACCTCAAAACGTGAGCAAGATGTTGACTAGGGATTAAAAGCTAGAATTACCTAGTATATATATGGTATAGTGGTGCATGCCAGCCATACCCTAGCACTTGGAGGCTGAAGCAGGTGGCTGTCTGAGTTGGAGGCAACCTGGTTGACTACATAGTGAAACCCTGTCTCAGAAGAAGAAAAAAGTTAGAATTGGTGTATATCGGTGGCAAATTGAAATCATTTTGATCTGAAGTGTAGTACTAAAATTTATAAACAGAAAAGATCTTTTCTGGTAATTTATCATTTAAATACTTTTTCTCCTTAAAATCAGGGAAGTGTTCGCCAATTACTGCATGAAAAGATCAGAGATGCTTACACTCATCCACAGTTTGTGACTGATGTAATGAAACCCCTACAGATTGAAAACATCATTGATCAAGAGGTACTATAACATTATCCTTACAGTTCTCTGTGCATCCTTATTTTGGATAAATATGTCTGTCTTCACACATTTTGCTGAACTTCTCCAATTAGGTGCAGACATTGTCTGGTGGTGAACTTCAGCGAGTAGCTTTAGCTCTCTGTTTGGGGAAACCTGCTGATGTCTATTTAATTGATGAACCATCTGCATATTTGGATTCTGAGCAAAGATTAATGGCAGCCCGAGTCGTCAAACGGTAAATGTCTTACTTCTAGAATATTTTTGATTATGTTTACTAGCATACAGATGTGTTTAATAAAACACTTGGATCTCATTTTGTGACTTAAAAGCTATGAAAGGTTTGCAAATTGTTGTGTTCCAGTTTCATACTCCATGCAAAGAAGACAGCTTTTGTTGTGGAACATGACTTCATCATGGCCACCTATCTAGCAGATCGCGTCATCGTGTTTGACGGTGTTCCATCTAAGAATACAGTTGCAAACAGGTAAGGATGGTTTTTTAAGTGTTCAGAAATAAAATTTTAAGTTCTAACAATTGGAAACTTACCACATTCTAAATTTCTGGTAAACTCATAAACACTGAAGTCATTGCTTTTTTCAAGGAGATAGCAAGTAAATCAGTTTCTTATTGACTCCCTATTCTTCTTACGATACTGCACGAGGCCTGTATAGTAGTTTTTGGACTAGTATAGAATACTGGATAAGCTTACAGAGCCCTAGACCAATAACCTCTTCTTTTAGCTGAACTTTGTCCAATTGATTTTTTATACTTCACAGAAAAATACTATTTTTATAGATAATTCTTACAAACTTAATTTTTGTGCAGAATAAAATTCAAAGAAGTAATGACTTGCCAACTACAATATAGTTATAGTAGGTGGCAAGTACAGGATACTGACCCACCCCAATCAGTGTGTTGTTCTACCTTCTCTTGATGTTCTGACAACACTGATCATACTGTAGGGAAAACCAAAATTCAGGTCTGTCAATAAGGCATTATTTTACCATTACTGCTAAACCTACATTAAGTTGTACCTTATGAAATCACCAATAACGAAGTTGGGGCCCATGAAAGTACCAGCCAGACATGGTAGCACACTCCTTTAATGCCAGCATGGGGGGCAGAAGCAGATGAATTTCTGTGAGAGCAAGGCCAGCCTGGCCCAAGTAATTTGTTCCAAGACAGCCAGATCTACATAGTAAGTCTGTGTCTCAAAAAAGGAAGGAAGGAAGGAAGGAAGGAAGGAAGGAAGGAAGGAAGGAAGGAAGGAAGGAAGGAAGGAAGGAAGGAAGGAAGGAAGGAAGGAAGGAAGGAAGGAAGGAAGGAAGGGGGAGGAAGGGAGGGAGGAAGGAAGGAAGGAAAGGGGAGGGAGGAAGGGGGGAGGGGGAAGGGAGAGAAGAGAAAGAAAGAAAAAGACCAAGAAAGGTACCATGCATCCCAAAGATCTCTGTCTTCATACTGAGTCTGTCATCAGTTATTGACAGTATATTCCTTACTGGAAATTTCTTAGATATATGAAATTTATTTCTTCAATAATAATCTTTGTTTTGGGTTTGCAGAATGCGTCAAAGTGTTCCATATTTTTTGTTGTTATTTAGCAAAGATAAAAATTACCTTGTGGGGATGTAGTGGCTCAAGTGGTTAACAGCACTGGCTAGGCTTCCAGAGGACCCATGTTCATTTCCCAGCCCCTACATGATAGCTCACAATTGTCTGGGACTCTAAATAAACCTTTAAAAAAAATGAAATTAGCTGGATATAAAAGACGAAAGAAAGAATGGTTTTTAATGGAAACTTGTTTTTAGTAAGTAATACTTTTGGAGCCATGACAATAACTCAGTACAGAGTACTTCCCTAACATGGTACAGAGCCATGCAAAAAAAAAAAAAAATCAACAACTATTCTGTCTTAATGTTTGTTCAACATCAGAAATACATACTATGCTTTACACAGAACTAAGTGATGTAGAGTAACATTAGCCTTGGTGCATAACTGAGAGGAAAAGGTAATGATGATCTGGGGCTCAGCTAAATTTAATGAACACTGTTCATTTTCCCTAGTCCTCAAACTCTTTTGGCTGGCATGAACAAATTTTTGTCTCAGCTGGAAATTACATTCAGAAGAGATCCCAACAACTATAGACCACGAATAAATAAGCTCAATTCAATCAAGGTATGTAGATAACTCCTACCATTGTAAACTTAAGTCTTTTTGTTTTGTTTTGTTTTTCGAGACAGGGTTTCTCTGTAGCTTTTGGAGCCTGTCCTGGCACTAGCTCTGTAGACCAGGCTGGCCTCGAACTCACAGAGATCCACCTGCCTCTGCCTCTCACGTGCTGGGATTAAAGACATGCGCCACCACCACTCGGCTTAAGTGTTTTTTCTTAAAAATGTATGACGTATCTATTGATTCTCAGTTTGGGTTATTTTTTTGTTTACATTTTCTTACTCTTGTTGCAGGTAACAAGTGTAAGGTATCTGTTATTCTGATTGGATGTGTGCTATTTAAAACAAGCAGTGGCATACATCATATATCCCAGCACTTGGGAGGTAGAGTCAGGCAGACATCTGTGAGTTTGAGGACATTCTGGTCTACATAGTAAGTTCCAGGATAGCCAGGGCTGTGAGATTGGAATAAAAGGAATAAACGAAAACTTTTTTGAGAAACCTTATTTTTTGCCACTGAAAGTAGATTAATGGAGTTTTATTAATGAAGTTTTTAAGAATACTTTTAAGCAGTTTATGGTTTTTTTAAGACATAGTTAAAAAAACATTCTCCTTTGCTAATTAAGTCATGACTGTATGCTGAATCGTTTAAGGTGTTAAGCTATTAGGAATAGAGCGTATTCCTAATAGCTGGTCAAGTAGATAAATGGATTAATGACCACCATCCTATAAATAGTTCTGAGGAAATTGTTTTAAATATATTTGATATAATAAGTGATTTGCAAGCTGGCAGTATTCTGTCTTTTGTACAAGGAGCTTAAAGGTGGAATTTAAGCTTCTCCAAGAATATTTGAGTATATGACAGATTTCATACATGTGAACATCTTAGCAGAGGCCTTCCTTGAGCTGCTGTGCGATGCTGAGAAGCACATACTGCATAGATTGCTGTAGCTTCCAGGAGAAAAACTGTTCTGACTTTTGTTACCTCTCTTTTTTTAGGATGTAGAACAAAAGAAGAGTGGAAACTACTTTTTCTTGGATGATTAAATTGAATCTGAGATTATCAATAAGCCATTTACTTACTGGGATTTTTATCATATAAAACTTTAATCAGGTTTTATGGCCCCACATACTCTGGAGTTTGAAGTATGGTTTTCTTAATGTGACATCAAAAGCCAGTTGTATTGTAAATTGTTATTTAAGAGCTTTTCTGTCCTTAAGATAAATCTCTGGGCATACTTCACTAAAATGGAGACATTTCAGATATGCAAATCACCTCTGGATCTCCATGATCTGTGGAGAGATTTTCAAGCTCTGTATTATATTCATGTACCAGATGCTTACCTACTGGTGTTGTCCATATTTTAAAATCTTGGATAAAATCTGTATTACCTGTTTGCTAAGTGTACCAGCATAATGAAATTGCCCTATTTAACAGCCAGTCAAAGACTACACTGCTAAGGTCTGATAAATAAACACCAGGATTATATTTGCTACTTGTTTTCAGTCTGTGACTATATTATCAGTGTGTAGCTGCTTTCAAGGAACATTGTCTGCTACAAACACCATTGTTAGGAGGTGGATGTCCGTGACCAACTTTTGCATTGTTTTTAAAATTTGGGGGGGGGGGTATTTTTGAACATCTGTCAAAAATTATTTCAGTACCCTAATTTAACTCTAGGTTTTTGGGTTTTTACATTCTATAAGATTTACTTTGTAAACATAAATTTATATAATCAAGATGGGAGGAGGTATTTCTGAGTATTTGCTTCCTATAAAACTACTTGGGCTGGGGAGATGGATCAGTCAGTAAAATGCCAACTGCACACTCATGAGGACCAGATATTAGACAGTAGGATTCTAATACTGGTCCTGGGAAGGGAAGTCAGACAGATCCTAGAGCAGGGCTGGCCAGCCTAACATAATCTGTGAGTGCTGTGTTCTGGGAAAGATCCTGTCTCAACAAGTTAGGTGGACAGCAATTGACTGGCTCCAGCACAGAGATTTGTATGTATGTATATACATACATACACTCACACCCCTACCCCTACAGATATAAAGTCTTTACAGTTGGTGACTTAAGTATCTGGATGTTAGGGTTTTGTTTTTAGTTTTGTTTTGAGACAGTGTCCTGTAGCCCAGGACAACCTTGAACTGAGCCCATTACCCAGGCTTGGATTATGCAGTGCTGAGAATCAAACCAGGGCTCCTCAGGCTAGGAAAGCACTCTACCAACTGAGCCGCCTCCCCAACCTTCTGTTTTTATAGACTACAGATTTTTCTGTTGAGCAACCAAGGGCAACCTTAAGCCACTTCTCCAATGAGTGCCAGAAATAGCAATACAAAGTTTCCACTGCTGCAGAACATATTCATTTGTAGGTGTGGATACAAAGGACATTATCCAAACCTTACTAATATGCTGAACTAGAATTATGAGGAAGGTAGATTACAGTGAATAATGGGGCCAGCAGAACAGGAAAAATAGATTTGGCAAAACTATTATTAGATTATTAGAATCTTAATAATCTTGATTAATTTGATTAATGATAGGAAGTTGTTTTTGACTGGACCCCATTAGGCATTCTAAAATGAATTTATATGAATAATCCATAAATACGTATCTGTTGTAAAACAATGCAAATATACAGAAATATATGGAATAAAAATTTTCTCCCTTCATTACTGAGATTACTTGTGTTCATTCTTTCACATTCATTATGCATTTAATGTAGGCATAAGATTATAGTGAAGTATTTTAAGGATAGGTTAATTTTTTAATACTGCAGACACATGGAATGCAGAGAAACTAAGCATTTACTGATTTAGAATTGTCCTAAAGAAAACAAAGTTAATCCATTTTAGTTGCTAATGACAAGGTATATTAATAAGATACTACTTTTCATGCAAGTGAAATTTGAAAATATAAATTCAGATTATTAAACATAATTATATAGCAGTAGGAAAGCCTGTATATAAAGGGTTGTGGTGGTGGTACACACCTTTAATCTGAGCACTTGAAAGGCAGTGGTCAACCTGATCTACAGAGAGTTCTAGGGCAGCAAAGGATACACAGAGAAAACCTGTCTTGGGGGAAAAAAGGACAAAAGGACTGATACACACACCAACTCAGAGATAGGACAGCAGGCACTGGGTTCAAACCAAAGTCCCATCCCTGAAAAGGGAGGTGGACACCAAGTCCCACCCAACCAGGAAGCTATTTGCAACTGAAAGCTGCTGAAAGGGAAAGAGTTTTCTCCCATGATGTCACTGTGCATCTCCACCACGCCCCAGGGCAGACCCCATGCCCACAGTCAGCCAAAACAAAAGGCACTCCTTTAGAGCAGGTGCAATTTTTATTAGGTTATTTTGGGGTTTCCAAGACAGGGTTTCTCTCTGTAGATTGGAGGCTGTCCTGACAGTCACTATGTCAACCAGGCTAGCCTCAAACTGAAGAGATCTGCCTGCCTCTGCCTTCCAAGTGTTGAGACTCAAGTCGGGCACTAACACCGCCCACCTGGGCAGGTATATTTTGTGTTATTGGAGTTCTCTATTTTTGCTTTTTGTTCATTTCTGAGGGAAAAACAAGAATTTGGGTGAGCAGGGAGGTGGGGAGGATCTGGTTGAAACTGGGAGAGTAGAAAAATATGACCAAAACATACTGTACTAAAAAACTCAAATGGGAAGTGCACACAAGACACCCCACAGGGCATACTGGGTCAGCCCAAGTCGGGCTGCTATAAATGCCTGCAGCTCCAGGGAATCCATTCCACTGGCGTCAAAGGGCACCTGTACTCATATGCACAAGTTCAACATATAATCTTAAAAAAAAAAAAAAGACTCCTATAGCTCCCTGACTGACCCTAGAGCAGTTTCCATCAAGTATCTGCACTGAATGAGCAGTTTTGAGCTCTGCTTCTGAGAAAACCACTTTCCTGAGGAAGTTCATAATTTCAGCAAGAACATGGCAGTATTTTTAATAAACTACTTAATGGAGAACATGCACTTAAGAAAATCATCTCTTTCAGGACCAGTAACAGAATTCAGAGGTTGAACACCTGCCTAAAATATACTTGGCTTGTATCTCAATTCCCAAGACTGCAAAAAAGTAAAGATTTCAAAGTATTTCAGTATACCTGAAAACCTTATTTCTGTTTCCAATTTGTTCAGTCTTTCAAAAAAGACTGAACTGGGCGGGGGGGGGGGGGGGATAGGAGGGATGGACAAAAAACTAAAGATGTCCATTAGCCTATGAATGTCGAGGTGTTCTGCACCCTGCTTCAGTGCGCTAAAAGAGATGGTGGAACTCTAGCTGTAACACCATTTACCCTGGAAGTACAACTCCACCACTTACTAGCTCCATGACAGGGCCAAAGCTCTGCAATACATAAAGAAAAACAGCACCTGTCCAATAGGTGTAAATCCCATTTCAGCTGTCCCTACTGTAACTATGTGCCAGCATGAAAAATACATGGAAATAATGTAATTTTCAAGAGTTTACTAAGACTTATCCTCAGAATTACATGTGATATATTGGGTTACCCAAAGACCAAAGAATCCCAAGCAGAATCGACAGACAGAATTTAATATATGCACACGGTTGTATATATAATGCAGCATCACACCATGTAGGGCATTGACTTGGTTTATACATTCAGATCGTTTGAAACACTTCTTAAGGCTACGAAACAGAACATAGAAAAATAAACAGCAATATATTCAACACTTACAAAAGTGGTATGATAAAGAATATAAAGTACTATTCCTTTCAACACTTCAAAAGATATGTATAGATATGTATATATGCTTTTACAAGTAACATCACAAATGATCACATCTTCACATGCTTATAAGTATTATTGTACTCAGTGTAAGGCTAGGATCATTTTTCCATACATAAATTTTTTTCTAACTTTGTAACAATGCAATTTTTAAACCATTCAAGTAAATTCAACCCCAAAGCTGCTGCTTCTCAGCATTAAGACATGCACCCACCCTCTTACAGGATTTTTCTAAAACTTGTAATTTTAGGGAAAGTGGAAACTTTAAAAGAAAAAAAAAAAAAGCCCCAATTAGTGGGAAAGCCAATGGCTAAGTAGGAAAATCTTAGCTCTTTCAAACTGACATACTCAAGTGAGCCATTATGAAGATTTAAAAAAAAATAAGACATAAAATAGGAAGCAAAATACAGTAAACAGAAATATAGCTTTCTCTTCAGCTACACTAAAATGGATCTTGCAAGTACCCTAAGTGAAAGACAAACTTCACCTCATCTAAAATTGAAGGTAAAATGAGGCAAAATAAATATTGCTAGTTTCCAGGATGGCTGAGTATTTTCTAAACCAGAAATGTTTAGAAATGAACTGTATTGCACCGAGTCAATCACAAGCGAGTTTGCAGTTCACAGGCATTTTAGTTCACCCTTGGGCCAAAGAAAATGCTACGCTCAAAGAATGGTTTGCAGCACATAAACTGTCTCAGCACTGTGCACTGTGGAAAACCTACTCCTGTCAGGTTGTAGCAGCTATGAACTGAGTCCTGCTAGGAAACAAACTTAGAGGAAACAACACGAAGGCTGCCGAGGAGTACACAGGGCAAGAATGGAGGATGTGCCTTGAGAGGAAGTAACCTGAAGAGACACAGTACTAGAAGGAAGAGGCGGGGTCTAGTACAACTAAAGCACCTAAACAAAACAGATGAGCTTTGGTCAGTGGAAGCATTTCTTCAAAATGTATCCCATCATAAGGTTTCATCATTTCCCAACTACAATACAAAGAACTTTTAGTTGTCATTTTCCCCCTTTCCTTGTGTAGAATACAGTATGTTTCAAAATACAGTATGACAGGTCAGTTCATGTGACGAAAAAAGGCTTGCTTGGCACTAGTCTGACCTTAGGATAAGGCAAAATCCCCTGGATGAATACACCTAAACACATACCTAAAGGAAGAAAACTGACCTTCATACAAGATTGATCATTTTAAAACTACTGAAGTCAGAGGTCACAAAGAAAGTACCACAGGCTAGATAGAGTTCTTTCACTGCTCATTCGTCACATCCCAGAGGTCAGGTAAGGAAACAAGCTCATCAGCTTCCCTCAGGAGCTACTAACCACTGTTCTTCACTAAGGTGAGACAGAGCCACTGTAAGAAACCAAGCATTATTCTTTCCTGTCCAATTTTTAAACATTTGCCCAGTCAGAAAAACACAGGACATTGGAAACAGCTACTTCTTTTGGACTCCTGAGACCAAACATGTATCAAACTTCTAAATCTATTATATCAAAAGGTGATTTTCATCTTGAAACTACGCAATAAAGCCAATTCTACATAAAAAGCACGGACTAAGAAGAAGCTCCTCTACAGTCCTTACTCCAGAATCCAGCCACTGATACTGAAGCACCGCAACACAGACCTTCACAACCATTCTATCTTAGAAGACAACAAATTCCTTTAAAATAGGTTCTCAATTTTTTTCAGCACATCCCAGCCTATAAAATTTTTACCTAGCACCATCATTAATAAAATGTTATCTTTCAAAGTGCTCTCTAAAGTCCTATGTTACAAAATTTCTAAATGCTAATCACTACTCAAATCAGCAGTTACACAGACATGAGGGTATTTGGAACAACACAGAGGTAAACACCATCATTACAGTACAGTGGAGCTTCACTGAGCCTAGCTGACAGCCAAACATTCCCACAAGCATCAGAGGACCCAGAAAACTGTCTGCTTCCATTTGTCATATTCAAGTTAACTGTATTCGCTTTTAAGTAATCTGCCCCCCAAAACAAAAGCCACATCATCTATTTCTGGTTAGGTATATTACACAGAACATGCAAAGAAAATCACAATACTACTAATTGCATAGCATTCAAGCTGCCTGATCACAAGATAATTGCAACATTTAAAAAAAAAAGGTAGATTTTCACATTGATATATACGATTAAGAAATACAAAGTACAGTTAGTTTCACAAAGTAACACAGATGAGTGAATACTGTGTTAACTTGTCTGAGTCCAATCTCTAAATGAGAACAGAACACAACATGCAAAGGAGCCTCTAGTGAATACTGCAGACCAAAAAAGCAGATCAGACACAGCACTGATGGGGAAGAGCTACAAAAAGCAAAGCTAAGCCACCTCTAGCAGCATCCTCTAGGAAAACTAGAAGTCACAATCACGTTCTTTTTATACAGTAATTCCAGCTATGACAAGTTGAACATGCAACTGTAAAGTGATAAACATAACCAATGAGCAGGGAGGAAAACACTATAGAGAAGCCTATCAAGTTAAAAATTTCAACATTTCTCACAAAATATTTAGAATCTGTCAGTGCATTAGTGTTAAAGTGGCATTAAAAAAACCTCTGCAGTTTTAACAGATGCAGATTATTCTCAAAATGCATAGCATCTACATTCCTTTCGGGTAGGCACCATGATATTTACAGCAGTGCTAAGAGTTCTGGATGGAAACAGCCGTCTCACCGGACTTCCTACTATTTCTTAAACATCTATTGTATGCAATCTCAAGTTCAACAAATACTCACCAAAATTCAAAAATATACCCTATGGATATTAAAAGAACTATATACAACAATTCTGAGACACAGGTTAATAGGCTGCCTCGTGTGTAATAGTAGAGAGAAGACGTTATTCAAGTTTGACAGATACTGAGATGAAAGGCCTTTGGGTTGGAAGCATATTAAAAGACAACAGTGTTTGAGGCTGAGAACTGTTTGAGCCCAGTTTATGACTAAGGCATTGCATAATAAAATATACATTTCTATTTGGTGCAATGTTATGTTTTGGAATCTATAGTGTGTTGAATGCTTTACTTTCTTGTCACTTCAGTAAACGCTAAAAGCACACATTTCCAATGTTTTAAAATCAAACTTACACCAGAGGAAAAGAAACAAACACTATGTCTATGTTTTATATTGAGTTGTTTATAAAAAAATACTTGAAGTCATGTTTACTTTTTATGGGGGCAGTAACCCAATAAACAGATTCTGAGTAAGAAAAAGCACAATGCCAAAAATTCATCTGCCCCTTGAACTCATGTCCAAAGTTTCATCCTATTCTGGAATAGGAATTAAGGGTAAATGGGGAAGGGAGGAGATAGTTCCAATTTGGGTTTTTATTTTAATGTTTTGAAAGCCTTCAGAAATACTCCACCTACAAAAAGGCTTCAGCTCTACAATATGAGCAACAATTAGCATTAAGTATGCTGTCCCCTGTGGCCATCTCCCATCCCTGATCTCCTCCTATCTCCCCTATATGGACGTCCTCTAGCGTTTCGATGGTACTGAAAACCTTCATCCCGGCTTCTGTTAGGCTGCCCTTTCCAGGGCTCCTCGCCTCTCACATGTTGATATCCACCTCTACCAGAAGAACCCCAATCACTTTTGTATTTCCTGTTTCCATAAGTTTGATTATAGAACTGCTTGGGTCTGCCACTTCTCAATATATTAGACACTTCATTCTCATCTTCTGAACTCTCTTCTTTTGGTCTTTGCAATCTATCCACAGAGTTGGCCCCAGGGCCAGCTACATCAGCAGCAGCCTTAGGATCTTTCACTTTCTCTGGTTTTTCTTTCACACTCTGAATGGTCCTCTTAGGCTCAAGTTCAGCAGACATGGTTTCTCTGTTTAGAATCTGAGTGGGAGGATGAGCCTTTCCCTCTGTTCCAGGAGAACCTGAAGCCAAAGCAATGTCTGCCTTTCGTGTCTGGGATGACTGTTCCACTCGGCCTTCATGCTTGCTGCTCACACTTGCTTCAACTCTGGGTTCCGGAAACTCACCCACTGCCGGGACAGAGTCGCATTCTTTTGACAGATCTAGATTCTCCAAGGGCAAATCCAGTTCCCCTTTCTCATCAGAGGGCAAGACAATATTCTGTCTCATGACAGGATTTTCTACAAATCCCTGAAATGGATACCCATACCAAACATGAGGAAAGAAAGGAGGTGCAATAGGAACAGGACCTAAGAACGGGTTAGGTCCAAAGGACGGTTGTGGGTACATGTTCTTGCCACTTAGTGATTCTTCATATTCAGCATGAAGAAGTTGCCCGGGATTCTCAGACTCAAGTTCAGGTTGGTAAGACAATTGTCCATGACCTTCAGACACCTGAGACTGAGACGGAGGGATAACCAGAGGTGAGGAGAATGCAGGAGGTCCAATCTCTGCCTGTGGCATCTGTCCATTAACACTGGCCTCGGGATGCATAGAGTAGTGGGCATCAGGACAAGGACAGTCACTTTCACTCTGAGCAGGAGGGGCTTCTTGGAACCAAGTATTCTGAGGATACACAGGAACAGGGACCTTTGGGTACATCCTACAGGCTGCCATGTAGGCCTGGTGCAGAGGATACAGGTAAGAATGTGGAGCCCACATAGGACAACTATATGCCTGAAAGACAAAAAACAGTAAAATAAACAAATACTAGAGGTTAAAAAGCTGTCTTTCTGAAAGTATTTAGCTCAAGCCAAGTCTCTCATGCTTATAAAGATTATATACTCTAAGCACCAATACAAGATGATCAAAGTGATACAAAACATGAAAAGAACTGGAATCACATCACTTCACGACCCTGATCCCTGGGTTCAAACCTGATGCAGGTTAATAGGAAGCATTAAGACAGCCAGGAATTTAGTTAGGCCTACTCACATCTTAACTCTAACCTGCCAGGAAAATGCTAGAACAGGACATATTCTCCAACAGGACTAATAATTCTAGAAACCCTCAAATTAATCCAATAACCAAGAATTAACAAATCAGACCTATTAGCAGAGGATAAAAAAAGCTGGCTACTGGATTGGAGCACTTGATAGCTTATGTTTACAGAACTGCAGTAATGAAGTCAAGTCAAAGACAGCAAAACATTGACTGACATGGACAGTGAAGCTCTGTAGCCTCTTTCTAAGGAAAGCGATCCCCCACAACCACCGCGAAAGCAAGTTCTGCTGTGATAGTGAGTGAAGTCCTCCCCTTACAGAAAGAACAATGCTTTCTATATATGTCATCACTTCCTCCAACCCTCCCAATGGTGGAGACACCAACTGGTTTGCAAAGGAAGACACACCTAAACTAGCTCAAGTACTACTTCAAACTAAGAGCTTTCATCAACTCCCCATCAAGGACATTCCCTTGAGCAGTCCCTTCAAGGCCAAACAGTCCTGAATGAAAAGAACAAGCAAATAAAAACTATAATCCGTTCCAAAGACAAACATAAAAGGTAGCATGCAGTAAACCTTAGATTATCAATTAAGAATTACATACTTTAAATTTTACTGTTGATAGTGGTAAGAAGAAAATTAGCTTTAAGGATAAAATATAAATACCTTTACACCAAGATTGAAGAAGAATCGAAGAATGTTCTTATCTGAAAATAAAAAATCTTTTTTTACTAAAACTACATAGTCAAAGCTTTTCTTTCCTTCATTATCAATCATTATAGCTCTAGTAACAAACTCTCCTGCCAGACTGCCTGTAGAGTAAAACACAAAAATGAAAACAGCCAAAATCCAGGCTATTCCTAGGGTAACTCTGGATTCACTACACTTTTCTCTGCACTAAGATTTAGTCCCTGAATAGCTTAAATTTAGTCTACCTGACTAAAATTCAATCTGGGAGAAAACTCAGATGAACACTGTATTTTTCATATACTGTAGGTGGTTTCAAAAATTATGAAAAAACTGGAAAAATAGTAAGATTTCTATAAAGCAAGCCAGCTATTATTAGTGCATACTTATTACCCAGAGCCCAGGAGAGAAAGGGCAGAAAACAAGCCCCAGGCAGCCTGGGCTGCACAGTGACACACGACCTACAAAAGAAATTAAAGCCCAGAAATGATTTCAAAGCTGTAAAATTGTTTCTGGAAAGGAAAAAGAAAAGAAAAAAGGTACATGACAGGCTTCATTAAGCACAAAAACTCATTTTCTACTAAGACCAAGCTAACTAGAATAGCCAAATCTCTGCTCTTTGCTGAGTGAATCCCTTCTATGGCTTGGTAAAAACCAGAGCTCTGACTTCTACTTCTATCTTTCCATTCCTCACTAAATCTGTTTGTGCTCAGGAAAAAAGCATGATGAAAGTGGAGGCCTCACCTTTCGGCAGGTCCTCACCGGTCTGACACAGTGAGTAAGGTGGTGCAATGGCTCGGTCTCCCTTCTCATTACAAGGAAACCCAGGATAGAGTGGGTCTTGATAAAGGCTCATCGTCTGAGGCAAAGGCATCAAGGGCTGGTTAACTGCCTGAATTGACACAGGAACTGGAGAAGGTGTTAAATGCGCTTGTGACACAGCAGCATCGGGTCCAGTTGTCTGTGTCACTGACAAAATGGGAATCTGAGCAGGGACACCTAAGAAAGATGAGAACAAAATAAAGCCAATTTCCTTTGGAATAAAGCTTGCATTAATTTCATACTACACAACTTGCGCACCCTGTAAAGCATGCAGTGAACAACCCAAAGTACGTTAGGACCAATCCAGGAACTAAGTTGAGCCAGTGTCTTCCAACTACAGTTCCCCAAAACTCCATTTAAGGTAAAGGTCTGTGTAAAGAGTCCTAACGGAGATGTAACAGTATGGCCTACACAGCAAACACAGACTGTGGCCAACAACAGAGGAACTGGCTCAGATGTCACAAACCCAAGATTATAAAAAGCATATCCTAACGATCACGCATCACGCAGTGCGGCTGGTCCTCCAAAATCAAGTCAGGAGCCCTAACAGGACCACATTCACACTTCTGCTGTAGTCAAGTTCTCATTCAACAACCTGAAGCCTCTCATTTAAGAGGAATTTCTGTTAGCTGGCTGGAAATGTTTAAAAACTTCTCCTCTAACCTGTTGGTCCGAAAGTTGTAGGTTCACTTGGCCAGGCTGGCACAGTGGCTGGTAAAGAAGGCACCGCAGGAGTGAGATGGACTTCTGGAGAGACTAAAAGGGGAGCTGGATTTGACAAAGATATATGTTCTGCTGGCTTCTTCAAGAATGGGAGGGGAAAAAAAGGAAAAAAAAAAAAACATTTTTCTCTGACACAAATTTTAGTAACAAATTTTTCTTAAGTAAAGTATAAAACACCCTACTATAACACTAAGCATTTAACTGTTCAAGTCAGTATCAGAATTCACTAGCTGACAAATACCATGTGAACTCATTTCATGTTAAGAGGTTCCTAGTGCAAGTCACAGGAAGAAACAACAAAAGCTTTTAAGGCAAGTGAACAAAATCATAGAAATTCCCTTTAAATCGCAAGCTTCCTTTTGGGGGGTGGGGATTTTTCGAGACAAGGTTTCTCCATAGCTTTTTGGTTCCTGTCCTGGAACTAGCTCTTGTAGACCAGGCTGGCCTCGAACTCAGAGATCCGCCTGCCTCTGCCTCCCGAGTGCTGGGATTAAAGGCGTGCTGTAAGCTTCCCTTTAAAGAAAGATCCTTACACGAAAAATTTTAAAAAATATACTTAAGTACATTCATTTTATGAACACAAAGTATGTTGATACAACAGTAAGTATCTACTCTTACATAAGACCAAGAACCAAAATGTATGCAGAAACTGAAGTGTGTTTATTTGCTTGGCAAACTACTGGTATTTTTTAAATGTATATGGAGTAATTCATTAATAATGATGTAGATAACTTCTAGAAATATTAACAATAGAAATTTTATCTTCTTAATTTTCAACCTGAACTAGCTCAAAATTAACAAGAGGTGCCAAACACAAAACTCAAATCAAGTCACAAAATCAATGCCAGAGAATGGCTATAGAATGTAATTCCATAAACTTTATAACATTTTAGACTAAACAGAATGACAAAAAAATTTAAGCACCCATATTCTATCAGAAATGAATCCTTCCATTTACAATGTAGATGTTTTCACATACAGAGAAAAGTCCAGAAAGAAAGGAGCTCTGCTTGCCTAGTGCAGTAATGCTGTGGGATAATGCTTTTATATTCTGTAAAGATTGTCACTTGTATTGGTTTAATAAAATGCTGATTGGCCAGTGTCAGGCAGGAAATATAGATGGGACAACAAAACTAAGAGAATTCTGGGAAAAAGAAAGAGTCAGTCACCAGCCAGATGGAGAGGAAGCGAGACAATGAAGCCAAGGCGGTGGTGGCGCATGCCTTTAATCCCAGCACTTGGGAGGCAGAGGCAGGAGGATCTCTGTGAGTTCGAGGCCAGCCTGGTCTACAAGATCTAGTTCCAGGACAGGCTCCAAAACCACAGAGAAACCCTGTCTCGAAAAACCCAAAAAAAAAAAAAAAAGAATGAGAAAAGGTACCAAGCCACTATGGCTAAACATAGACAAGAATTATGGGTTAAGTTGTAAGAGCTAGTTAATAATAAGCCTGAGCTAATAGGCCAAGCAGTTTATAATTATTATAATCCTCTGTATGCTTCTTTGGGACTGAAGGGCTGGGGGACGAGGCGGGACAGAAACTTACATCTACACAGTAACTTACTTGTTCTACAGGAGATGGGCAGTCTACTTTCTTTGTCTTAGATGGTGATGAAACTCTTGTACATTTATCATCACTGACCTTTGGGAGTAAGAAAAAGTTACACTGTAATTAAAAAGAACTCCATTCTGGGTAACTGTGGTTGCCTTTCTAATTCGATCGAAGAACCTGCTCTGGGAACCCACTTCCACTTAATTTTGTCCGCACATTGGTTTAATGTCACATTACTGGAGAGTTTTTATATGGGACTTTTCTAAGAACATAAGCGACTCCTTTACAACATCACTATATAGAGAATAAACACAAGCTGAGTGTGGTGGTGCATGTGTTTAATCCCAGCACTTGGGAGGAAGAGGCAAGAGGACCATCTGTGAGTTCAAGGCCAGTCTAATCGACACAGACGGGGCCACACAGAGAAATCCTGTCATGAAAAACAACAACAACAATAATAATAATAAACACTGTTTTCCAAGTTAAGATAGACTAACATTAAAACTTTTAAGGCCAGCCAGGTATGGTGGTACACTCCCAGCATCCAGAGGCAGAGGCAGGCAGATCTCTGAGTTCAAGGATAGCCTGGTCTACAAGGCAAGTTGAAAAGGCAGCTAAAAAATAAATAAAAATAAAAAAAAGAAGAAAAATTTTTCGTGGGATGGCTCAGCAGCTAAAGTAAGTGCCACCAAGCCTGGAGCCTTGAGCTCAATTCCTAGGACTAACATAGGCTAACATAGTAGGAAGTAAGTGACTCCTGCAAATTGCCCTCTGCTCTCCATACATACAGCATGGTGTACAGACACACACGCACGCGCATTAAATAGATAAATGTTTTAAAAATATTTAAAAGCCTTACCTCCAGTGTGCTTGACTCGGGTTTTTTATCCACATGAGTATGGCCACGTAGGGAATCTGTAACAGATTAAGAATAAGAAAAATAAGGAGCATCAACCATCATTCAGATTTAAATAGAGAAAAACAAACACTGTCTTAGGTCAAATCGATGATTCTAATGTCAGATATAGCTTGACAATTTTAGTCTTTTCCCAGTAGTGATCCTTCTTATGCACAGTAGATAATCCTCCAGCTGACTTCTGAAACTGTGAATGGCAACACAGTTTCTTATACTATGATTTTTTTCCTGTATTTATAAAGACAGCCAAAACTAATATCGAAGTAAAACAAAACTACAAAAAACTATTCTATAACAAGTTATGTGAGTATAACCTCTTGCAAAGGCCTCTTCATTTGAAGTATTCTGACTTTTTTTGGCATACTCAAAATGATAACATCACTACTATACATGACGGAAGCATTGCTGGAACACAAGCACTGCTACACCCAGTCAAAGTGACATTCATGACAGCTACAAAGAAACACCTGTGCCAGCAGCATACACAGTATGGTAACACTAGCCCTTCACATGTGAACAGGAAGAACCAGTGTATCAAAACATACAGCACTCAATTTGACTCTTACAAATTTCTGGAATCCTTCGTTCATTTAGGATTTCCAGACCAGTTTACTTATATACCTAAAACTGCAAAATAAACCAAGCCACAAATAAGGCAGGAATTACTGAATGAAACTTGGCAAAAGTGTCAAGTGTCTTCAGTAATGAAGTAGTATACCTTTGTCCTTCCGTTCTTCAGCATCTGTTCTCCGCATGCTTCCTTTTCTATCCCTTGCATGTGAAGACTTCCTCTGGACACCTGAGTTGCTATTCTGAGGGGACTGACTGACTGATGGGCTCTTTAAAATAAAGTCACACTTTGCATTAAAATTTTACCAACATGAATACAAGTTCTACAAATAACATTTATACTTCTAACCAAAAATCTCAAAAATCATAGCCATATATTCTTAATACTTTAGAATCTAGTTGATAGGTAGTTATGGATATCATCTAGCATCCATATTCAAATATATGCTCTGAAGTAAGTCTTTTACTGAACTAAAGTATCAGGCAATCAGATTTATCAGCCTAAATTAATAATTCATGTATCATTTTAAGAAATCACACTGATCAAATTGTCATCTTGCACTTAATATTCTTTGCACAAAAATAACTTCTCTACCAACCTTCCCAGGCTCCCTTGGGAAGGGAAATATATCAATCAATTAGCAAGTATCACTGAAGTGATGAAGAGCAAATCCTCTGAGGCCTGAATGGCCCAACCATATCATTGGTAAAACAAAGAGAAAAGAGTAAGTTGTTGGTTTGGGGCTTTTTTTTTTAAACCCTGTTTTTACACAACAGGGTTTCTCTGAGTAGCCCTAGCTGTCCTGGAACTCACTTTGCAGACCAGGCTGGCCTCGAACTCACAGAGATATGCCTGCCTCTGCCTCCCAAGTGCTGGCCATAACTGCCCCGCTAAAGTTGAATTTTAAAGATAAATTATCATTGAAGGTGCTAGATCCCTGTCATAACACTCTTAATCACACAGAAGGAAGGAGGCTTAGTGTTCTATTCCAGTAAACAAACCTAATCCACTATTAAATCCAACACCACACCAATCTAAATGTAAAGTATAGAAGGTTAAAAATAAAAATTTAACAATGAAATTTTATAATCTATGACCACATAACAAGAGCACTTTTTTCTCATTCACTAAGGACAAAACTTTGAGTATAAGATTAAGTAATTAAAATTAGCCTTACAGAATAGCTATGTAAAAACAACAAGTATGACATAAAAGGAATGCCTTAGTACACAGAGAGCACCTATCACGCAGGCCTCTCTGACTTGGCACGTTTTGCAACCCTCCCTAAGCTCCAGACTGAACTGGTCCAGATAAGCTCTTTTAAAGGTAGCTTCTTCCTCACTGAAGACAGAAGAATGAACTCATGCAGCTTGGCTCTTGTCCCTGAACAGTGGAGCCTCCAACAGCATTCTTCCTTCATTCACTATTACCATTTTATATCATTTACCAAGACTTACAGACCACAAGCACAGTTCCTATGATACTCAATTAAGCCCTCCTGTAATGTCAACGAAACCCTCACCTACACTGTAGGAAATTAAGGCTTACTAGGCTGAGAAGAGCCAACCTATAGTCTGCCTGGTGCTGATCACATCTAGACAATGAGGGGTGACCATGCAGTATCAACGGATTGGAGCACCTGGGTGCTGGGAGGGTATGTAAGATTCTACCGTTGTTAAATAAGCGAGTCTGCTGTATGCCTTCTACCTGACTTTGTCTAAGACGTTGACACTGCCTTCTCACTCCCCTACCTAAGTAAGACGTTAGGGCCCAGCAACTCTATATGGCAATGGCTTTCCTTTCTGATGGCCCCAAAGCTAAGGAAACTGAAGGCAGAGTCATCGCTTTCATCAGAAGTATCTAGCTCAGCCCACAGACTGACACACGGAACAAAACAAATCCATGTGCTTCTTGCTTACACTAATATGGTGCTAATGCACACGTCAATGAAGTTTATCTTGACTATTCAGAAAACCTTGTAAGAGAGGCCAACTGCATGCATCCTAAGCCTTCTCCTGCAGGCTCTGCTTGCAAATACTACATCCTTGGTCTGAAAGGAAATACTCCTGTCAGGTGAACAGGTGAATCGCCTACTTTTTCAACAGTATCTTTAGTCCCGGGGTTAACTACAGAAAGGCTTTACTTCTACTGCCCGTCCCTCCTGTCTTTTTATCTTGACACAGAATTTCACCAAGATGGCCTTGAATTCAGGAACTCTTGCTTCTCAATTAGCCAGAATTATAAACACATAACCACCATACCAACGTTCCCATAACCTTTAAAATACTTTCAGTTAAAAAAATTAAGTTCATCATCATTATGATACTACAAACTGTGTATCAAGAAAGACTTCTTAAAGTTAACCTTTAAAATTTCTACATACGTACAGAAAGGGCAGGAAAAGCCTGTTCATCCCGGTTCTGAATCTCATACAATAAACGAGACTCTTCAATAGCTTGTTTCTCTCTGCGTTCTTCTGGGGAGAGGCCAAAATAGTAAGATTCACGACTCATGTGATCAAAATCCTCAGCTCTTTCACGATCAGGTTTTCTGTCAAATAAAACATTTTTTTTTCAGGAAAAAAAAAAGAGGCAAATATGCAGAATACAAAAATACAATGATCTTTTCTGCAGTACAAATATTCAACTAAACAACCATACAACACTTTGAAACTTAGGACAGCTAGCAACAAAATCAGCACTTAAAGCACTTTACAAAGTTAGATAAAACTGACAGCGGTGCACAAGAAATTGGAAGTTATTTTACTCACTTATTTAACTCACTTCCTCTACATGATGCAGAAGTAACTGAATTTTTTTCCTGAGTGCAGAAATATAAACACGGTACATATTCCAATACTATCATAAAAATTTAGTCTGAAAAGAAAGATGAAGCTGCAAATGGCTTAAGGTTTGTCACCAAGCCTGGAAATCGGAGTTCAATACCCAGAATTCATATGAATAAAGGAGAACAATAACACCTACAAATTTTTTCTGACATCAGCGAGTACAAAGTAGCCCATATGCACCCACACAAACAATGAAAGTTAACTAATTAAAATGTGAAGGAAAAATAGGTTTAAGAGAGGAGGAGAAAGCATTCTGACTTCCTGTTCTAAAGGCAATAACCAGATGAGACACAAAGACATCCTAATTACTGGCTACAGCACCAAGAAAAGCAGAGAACTGACAGCAACAATAGGTGTCAGACTGGGATACTGTCTGCCACTGAAACCTCAAGGGAACGATCACAAGAGATGCAATAATGCATTTACTAACAACTCTAATATTCATATATGGCTTGCAGCAATTAAAAGCGGTATGAAGGGCTGAACATGGCTCAGCAGTTAAGATGGATGTCTTGCAAAGAAACTAGGTTTTGTTTCCTAATACCAACACAGTAGCTGACAACCAACTTAACTCTAGTTCTAGAAGATCTTATGTCCTCTCTTCTGATCTTTTCAGGCACTAAGTGTGCACAGACACTGCACTTACTTATACATGTGCTTATACATAAAAACAAACATTTCTAAAAGAGCAGTATGGATACTATTTCTATCATTTCTATCACTTGTATAAACAAGAAATCATTCATAAAATTCAAAACTTAAAAAAAAAATTGAGATTGTGGATACTTTCCCTGCTGATGCCTGGTCAAATTACACATCTATTCAATGGAGCACTTGCAACAGTAACAAAATAAGATATTTTATTGTATCCTTTTATTTCAGGCCTTTCAGGTCCAAACACCACCCAGATTACTTTGTATTTTTAATTACTAAAACTTCACATTTTAAATTTGTAATTCTGTACAACATAACAGAAAAGTTGAAAATAATGTAAGTGGTCTTGGGAGGGATTTAAATGGGAAAATGGGGACAAAGTGGAATCATGAAAGTTTTTTTTTTTTGGGGGGGGGGGGGGGTTCGAGACAGGGTTTCTCTGTAGCTTTGGAGCCTGTCCTGGAACTCCCTTTGTAGACCAGGCTGGCCTCGAACTCACAGAGATCCTCCTGCCTCTGCCTCTCACGTGCTGGGATTAAAGGCGTGTGCCACCACCGCCTGGCAAGATTTTTAGAATATTTCTAGATAATACAGTGGCCAAGAAATTCCAAGAGAACTTTCATGTTTCTAAATTCCCATGAAGGCAGAAGTGCATCAGCAGGACTTATTCTCAAATTCTCACCTACAGTCGTCTCTAGTACCACAGACTACCATGTAGTGAGAACTGGAGTTTTCCAGCAAGTTCCTCCTCCATGGTTATACTGTGATACTATCCACCTTTCTGTTTTGTTTATAGTATCAGCTGGATAAGTACTTTCCTGCTTGCATGGGCTACTGGATTTTCTGTGGCTATTTCTTAAATATTTCTGGTTGTCCTGTTCCCTGATACAAGAATTAAAATTGCTCAGAATTAAAACTGCCCTGAATTTTGAAGATTCCAAATCATACGGAAATAGGGTTAGGTTTAAATTTTCAGAAGTCAATGGCAACTGTTAATAAACTAGGTTGTTTTATATTATACTTCTTTTACCCTTGGTCTAACATAAATGATCACTCTGTCAGGGGGAGAAGTTAGTAGAGGTTCACAAGAGCCTATCCTTTACTGAAGGTATATTTTACAGATTCCAAACTAAATAAATCAACCAGCATGCTTTAAAAATGTGTTAACTTCAGAATGAAAACCAGGATGTGTTAAATTGGGGAAGAGGTTTTGCTTTTGTTTTCACAGGAGAGAAGCTATGGATACCATCAATATTCAATTCTAGCAAGAGAGATTTTTTGATTAGAAAAGGTGATAGACAATTCATCAACTGATGTTGCAATTCAACCTGATAAAAGGGGAAACTCAAATTAGGGTGCGGGCAGGGTTTGTTTTTGTCTTTCCAGGAAAATATAAACATCCAACTGAGGGACCTAAAAACCTTTGAACAAATAAAGCATTGAAAAAGTAAGGGAGAACTATCTGGGGGGAAAAAATACCAAAAATAGGAGTAATCTGGCCTAATGTTACTTCCTACAGGATAAAATTTCATAAACCTTTCAAAATGTTTATTTTTGCTGGCCTCTACATAAACAGGTGGTCTTTAAGTAGTTCTGACTCAAAAGCTAAAGCTGGTTTTTGGAGTTGGGCTGTGGCTCTCTTCTTTTTAGGCCCAAGCATGTTTATTAAAAGAAAGTTCAAAGTCCCTGTCTTATATCAAGAGATACCTGGTATGGAACAGAAGAAAATATATTGTCACTAATCTCATACCCCTCAAATTCATTATGACTCCTTAAAACTTTTTTAGATATAAGTATTATCTAAAAATTTAAACTTCCTGTTTTAAATTAACAATATTATAAAGTACTAACTTAACTAATGCTAACCTTAGGTTTCATGTAGCTTCCTGTACATGATTTCAGGCTTGAGTCAGAAGCTGATATTTAGAAACTGAGCCTAGATATCCCAGATGTATTTAACAGATCATGGTCCTCCTTTAGCCACCATAAGATTTACAACTCATGACAGTATGAAGTGAATGATAAACATTTCTAACAATCTCTGAAGTCTCTAAAAAAATGATAGGGCCCCACAATAACGATTCTCCCCAGTTTGTGATAAGCCACTAAGCCCATAAACACCACCCAAAGATCAACTTTGGACTACAAATTGCTCAGGATAATTCTAAGCGTCCCCTAAAGATGCCAGTCACCCTCCAGACAGAAGGAAGTAATTTTGAAAACACGACACCCACATTCCCAAGACATGGGGTAGATGGTTTTTGGTCTTTCACTGGGTTATGGATATTTGTCATCACGTAAGTGGGATTAGTTACCAGTTGTCATTGGGTATGATCAAAAGTGGGGAGGACAGACAAGATAGGATAAAAAGGTACATTACTGAATCTACTTTGAAACTTAAAAAAAAAATATCAACTAGTAGTTTTAAATAACTTACATTGCTATAGATTTTTGTATACTTATACAAATTTAAGGTTATTTTTGTTATACTGTATGTATGTTTCTACTTCTGTTTAAAATAGTTTTGTATATAGTTACAAATTTGAAGTTATTGTCCTTACACTGTTTCTATTTTTTGCTTAAGGTATTACCTATACAGCTTGGACCTATACAGCTTCTTTAAATATGCAATGTGAAGTTTTAGTCCTTAAAAGCTATTTAGAATAATAAAGAAATACGGATTAACAGTTACCTGTAACTAACTTACAGTCATGTGATTTTCTAGGTACACCGATATGTATTTCAGATAGATAGCTACTCTTAAAACACTTCAAAAACCTACAGAATATGGCATTTAAAATGTTTTAGTAACTTAAGACTTTTCTTTCCAGAGACTCTCTACTCCTGGTGGCCACAATCTACTTCTCAAGAGGATGATGAGCATTAAAGACACTCCATATGGAAATGTGCACTTTTTGTTGCATAAACTCACCATTAGGGCAAGACTCTCCCCTTGTCTCAACTGCTGACAATACACTGTCCAAACTGAACAAGCAGGACACAAAAAAAGACAACAGCTGAACTTGGCAGAACAGGGTAGGGTAGGACAGTCTGGTGTGGGACAATTGTCTATATTCTGTCAATTATATTTTAAACGCTGGTTGGCCAGTAGCCAGGCAGGAAGAATAGGCAGGACAACCAGACAGGAAGTAGAGGTGGGTCAATGAGAACAGGAGAATTCTAGGAAGGAGGAAGCCCATTCCTCTACAGTCCTGACCCAACCACAGAAGAAGCAAGATGTGACTGCCCCACTGAATAAGGTACTGAGCCACATGGCTAACACAGATAAGAATAATGACTAATAATGGGCTAATATAAGTTATAAGCGTTAATAAGAAGCCTGAGTTAATGGGCCAATCAATTTACAACTAAAGGAGACCTCTGTGTGATTTCTTTGGGACTTAATGATTGAAGGAAGCGGGAAGGACAGAAACCTCAGTCAACAACAGTCCTTCAAAATTCCTGTTTCACAGAAAAGTCTGTCAGATATTCTAGGCCTGTAGGCTAAAGATGGATGTCTCAATGCTACAGAGGAACCTTGGGTGATTGTCCAGACAGTCAGCTGTTTCAGTCATTTCTCACATTTTTTGGAAGTTGTTTGCTTTGCATGTCCTGCTTACTCAGCTAATATTTCCTTCTCCATCTTTAGTGGTATTAAAGTTATAATTAGACGAATCTTGGCAAAAGACATATCAGGAACAAAACTTTAGACTCTTCAGGAGAGAACAGCAAGTGGAATAATTTCTATAAATTTGTGAACCAGACACTGAGAATGTATTTCTTACTTAATCATTGTTCTTGTTGTATGTAGTTTCGTTTTTGTTAAGGTTATAACTTTTCCTTTTTATCTGGACAATACTTGATAAAAAAAATTATATGTAGTTTTACTATGTTAAAGTTAGAACTTTTTCTTCTTAATCTAAAAGGGGGAGATGTGACAGGAATTCTGTCCCCAGTTGCCTAGTCAACTGAGAGAAGCATTTTGGTCCAAGAGGCGAGATTTTCATTGGAGATGGACATGACTGAGAGAAAAGGCTGAGAGAAGTGTGCAGGTCCTCTTGAACCAGGAGCCAGGGACTACCAGTGTTAGTGTGATTCAGAGCAGGTTCCCCTTTTGGTAGTTAATATTTGTGCATGGATTTTGCCCGTAAATAAACGGAAGAGAAATTTTACATCACCTTCTTGCCTCCTGTGGATCATTGTTCTTCTGGCCTCAGTGGTTGAGAGGTCCCACAGAGCTACCATAAACATTTGCCACACTTTAAACAAAATATTCAAAAATAAAAGCTTATTCCTCTATAGTGTTATTTTGTACCATTTGGGAATTCTATCAATAATACTTTTCTTTTAAGTTTTATGAGACAAGATTTTTCTGTATAGCCCTGGCTGGTGCTGGAGGTCGCTTTGTAGACCAGGCTTGCCTTGAACTCAGAGATCTACCTGCCTCTGCTTCTTGTGTGCTGGGATTAAAAGTGTGCACAACCACCACCTGGCAATACTTTTCAATACTACATTATAAACAAATACCAACAAGAAATTGTAACCAAACAAAAATGACTATAATAAAAGACATACAATGCCTCTCATGACTTCTACTTCTCTTCAATTCGGGAAGGTTACCTTATGATCTGTGAGGGTGTCCTACTTAGATTCTTATGCTCACTGGAGGATTTTTGAGACTGGGACCCTGAAGAATGACTAGAGAATGCATGCTGTCTTACACCCGAAGAAGGATGCTGTAGTCGAGGAGGTAGTGCTGATGGAGCTTTTATTGGCTTGCTTAGACTCTTTGGCCCTCTGTAATCCATATCTGTGGAAAACACAAAACGATCTCACAATTTCCCTGACGTAAGTTAACAACTCCAAGTACTATCATCATAATCTTAAAAGACTTTGTTGTGAATTTACCTGAATTAGACTTTTTCATCTTCTTTCCTGACACTGTGTTCCAGCTTTCTGGGGGAGGTGGCTTGAGGTTCTTCAGTGTATGTCTTCAAAGTAAATGAAATCTTCATTAGTAATAATATTGCATATGAACACGGCTGGAGAGAGGGCTCAGTGGTTAAGAGCACTGGCTGCTCTTTTAGAACCAGGGTCCAACTCTCAGCACCCTGGCTCACAAAGGTCCTAACTCCAATGCTAGAAGACCCAATACCCTCTCCTAGCCTCCTCAGGTAGCAAACATGCATGCACTGCACTTAACATGCCAACAAAACACTACATCTTTAAGAATCAACATTAAAACACATATCCTGCATTGATATTAGAGATTTTCTATCTGCAATATTTCCCAATTTTAGCCAGGCATACTAGCACATGCCTGGTCTACAGTAAGCTCTAAAATAAGTCAGGTTTATGTAGAACCAGTCCCAAAAAATAAATATTTATATTTATTTTAGAGAGAGGAAAAAAAGAGAAAGGGTAAATTAGCAAGATGCTACACATCCTTAATCCAAGCCTTCCTGGAGGCAGATGCAGATCTATTTCTGTGAGGCCAACCTGAACTATACACAGCTTTCAAGACAGGCAGTGCAACGAAGTGAGATGTTACAAACAAACAAAACAAAACAAGGTTCATTAAAATTACTAAGTAAAGGCTAGGTGAGGTGACCTTTAATCCCAGCAATATGGAGGTAGAGGCAGGCATATCCCTGAGTTTGAAGGTAGCCTGATCTACAGAGTAAGCTATAGAAAAGCCAGGGTAACAGAGAAACCCTGTCTCAAAAAAAGTCAAAAGGAATTAAATATAGGAAAGTAGTGATATTTATATTGGAGTTTGCTGTACTATATACTTTACAGTCATATATATTTAAATTTGTATTTTTAATAAAGGTTAAGGTGTAGTTTATTATCTTTTCCTCTAGTAAAGGGAGCAGTAATTCAGAAAAATATTAATTTTTTTTTTTGGTATTACTGACACTCTTTAAAAAAGGTTTCACTATGCAGCCCTAGTTCACATCAACTTTGTCTACCACTTTGGCCCAGGAAATCTGTTTGACTCTACTTCCTGAGTGCTGGGTTAATGGCATACACCTCCACACCCGGCCACTGACAAACTACTGACTGTATATAATCCTGCACTAAGAAAATAAATAGGAATATGGTGCTTGTTCTATAACTCCATACTTTATAAACTCACCAACTTATGGTGTTCTTTAAATTTCTTTCTCAATTTGATTTTGATGAATATATTTTAAAACTGTAGCCATTAAAATTAACTAGCATTTCAGAAAATGTACCAATGAGCAAAACATTAGATTTAACCTCAAACTACTGTGTGTTTGTATGCTGCCTATGTGTGTGCTATATGTGTGCATGTGTCTATCAGGTTTTTCAAGGTACACCTCCAATGAACCTGAAGTTCATTTTACATGGCTAGCTGAGCACCAGGGATTCACCTACTTCTGATGTCCAATATGGTGTTACAGACATACACAGCTATGTCTGGCTTTTATTCAGAAGTTAGAGATTAAAATTGAGTTCCTGGTTTTGTTGCTGTTTATTCTCTTTTGTTTGGTTAGTTCTATTTTTAGTTTTGAGTTTTGTTTTTGTTTTTATTTTATTTTTTTGAGATGGGGTTTGTATACCCCTGGCTTCCCTAGACCTCTATGTAGACCAGGCTGGCCTTGAACAAGTTGCATACCTAGTTTCAAAATCAGTTCCTCTGCAAGGAAACCAGTATTCATATTTACAGAAGGCTAAATCAAAGAGTTTTAGCAAACACCTTGGCTGAAAAATACATACTTTTTTCCCGGTTCTTCTGATAAAACTGGTCCATTCTCAGAGTGAATGCCATGACTGTCTGCATTAGAAATTTTTCCATTATGATCCAATCTAACCTGTTGAACACCAAAAAGAAAAATCAGACACCCGATTCTTTTTAATACATACATCAGTAGCTCATTTTTAAGTGAGTTATCAAGTCACCTATATATCATTTCAACTGCTTATGATTTCAAATAAATTGAATTCAAATAAAATGGATAAAGACCCAGCACTCAGGAGGCAGTGGCAGTAGGATCTCTGTGAACTTGAGGCCAGCTTGGCCTACAGAGTTCCAGACCAGCCAGAACTATACAGTGTAACACTGTCCCAAAAACAACAAGGACAAGAAAAATTTTACAAACAAATTTCAACATTAGGATGATTCTACTTGTGTTTAGCATAAATGAATTGTGAAATCCAAATAATGAACAGTCAAATTTTAGTTGATGGTTTCTTTAGAAAATAAGATAAAGTCACTTTCTCTTTTAGTAGAAATCACTTACAGGGCATTTATCTCCAACTTCGTATTGTAATCCAGCAGCAATGGAATAATCACGTTTCTGTTGAGCTGTTAATTTAAAAAAAAAACAAAAAAAAAATCAATAAAATACCAACTTTATCTTCTTATTTTCAAGTGCTACAAGGCAATTTTACAGAACATTCAGTTTAACTTACCTTGTTTGGACTTCAGCCAAATTTCATACTCCACATTTCTATAGACTGCTGGGTTGAGTGACTTAAGAACCTTTCTGGACAGAGGAAGGTCAGCCACATTCCCATTGTTCTCTGGGTTCTAAATAAACAATGTCAGACTTCCAATCAACACAGAAATGCATTTAAAACATTGTTTCAAAAATGCACAAAAGCAAAACAACAACAAAAAAAAACTTAAGAAAAAAGTAGGAAGCAGCAAATAAGTTCCTTCTTTTCTTTCCTTTTTTCTTCGTTGTTTAATGGTTAAAGCTAAGCACACTCCAGCACCAGGACCAGTGTGCAGTTGAAGAAGCCTCATGGAGAAAAGGATGAGGAAGGTGATCATCAAACAGAAGAGGCCCATGGCCTCAGACAAGGCAAAGCCCAGAATGGCATAGGAGGAGAGCTGTTGCTTGGGAAACAGTACAGCCAATCAAGCTACCAAACACTGTTCCAATGCAAAACCCTGACCCAGTCACACCAACAGAGGCAGCGTCAGCACCAATAGCACAGTGGGCTGTGTCAATGTCCTGGAAAACAGCACTGGTCCTGAATTCCCATCTGGCCACTTGGAGAGGGGAGTGGCTGCAGGAAAGCTGTCCAGACACAGGCCTGATTAGACCCCAGTCCAGAAGCAAACCAGAACAAGCAATGTCTTGGTGGTCTGCATTTTTCAATCTCCCAGCATTAGCCCCCTTGCTCTCAGTGCTGAACTCCCCCAAATAAGTTTCTTACACTAACATAGCAATGCCAACTAAGGAAAATGACCATAAAATTTGGGGCTTCTTAAATACTAAAGATTAAGTTAAAAAAAATACCTCACTGCCTGAAGGCTTAAATCCATTCACATCAGTAGCAGCAGCTGTACTCTTACTCCTATGAAGAAACAAAACACCAATTAGGAACCCAAGATATATTTGCATACAATCAACCTTTCTTTTGTTTTGTTTTGAAACAAAGTTTCTCTGTTTAACAACTCTGGTTGTCCTAGAACTCACTTTTTAGACCAGGCTGGACTCAACTCAGAGATCCCTGTCTCCTGAGTACTAGGATTTGCAGGCATACATACTGTTATACTGTTAATGTAATCAACTTTTTTTTTTTTTTTGAGACAGGGTTTCTCTGTGTAGCTCTAGCTATCCTAGAACTCACTCTGTAGACCAGGATGGCCTCAAACTCACAGGTGTGTAGCACCACCTAACGTGTAATCAACTTTTAACCTCAAATAAAACACTGTAGCCAGCTACATACCAAAATGTGAGGCTCCAGTAAGTTCTTAAGTTTTAGTATATGCAAATATATATTACACATATATAAAATGGGTGTGTGTGCATATATAAAAATCAGATTTACTACTATTAATTCTTACTGGCTTAATAAAAAAAATAGGGGTGGCAGGATGCAGTATTTGAGTGGGTAGAATAACAATCTACAAAAGATTCAACATAAAACTTTCTTAAGTATTAAAAACTTTTACAAAACTGTTATAACCAAATTATACCATTTAATAAAAATTTGTAACAGAGGTCTAAAGAGTCATAACCATTTTCTAAAAAACACTTCCTGATCCTCAGTACAACCAGGAACCATCATCAGCCTACTTTTCATTCATTTACTCTACAAGTATGAAAACCTACTATGTGCTGCTCACTACAAAAACTGTGCCTATACAATCCAGTACAAGTAAACACAAACTAGGTAAGCAGTCAGTATATAAGAGCTACTACATACTTCAGCAAACAAAAGGCAGCAAGCACAGCAATGTAAGATAAAATACAAAGTGGGGGAGGAAGGTCTTGCTGAAATAGATGCCTTTGAATAAAGACAGGTAACAAGACAGTGTATCATATCTAGTCATATCTAGTACTCCATACAAAGGAAGAGCCCAAAGTTGACAAGAGGCTGAAGAGGAAAAGGGCCTAAGTAGCCCCACAGTATCAACTTTGCTGTCCTACTTCTCCTCAAGAAATCGACCTCTAGGTTTCAAAATAACCTCCAAATATTCACTAAAGGGAGCAAGAGCCTGAAGTCTAGACCAGAAATCACTCATCATTCCAAATACACTTCAAGATCCAACAATAAGAAGGTGAAAATAAACCTAGAGCATATTACACCTCTTTCCTCCTAGTTACCTCACTAAATGGATCTATACTTGACAAGATTATACAGTATTCATCCGCTCAAAACCAATGTGACAAAAAGGTATCCCCCTACTTCTAGTATAGGAATTCACACTCAGGGCCTCTCACAAGCTAGGCAAGCACTCAATCTCTAGATATATATATGTGCCATATGTAAGTATGTATATATACATGTATATAGCTAAAGCAATTTTATTTATTTACTTATTTACTTATTTATTTATTTATTTATTTATTTATTTATTTGGTTTTTCGAGACAGGGTTTCTCCATAGCTTTTGGTTCCTGTCCTCGAACTAGCTCTTGTAGACCGGGCTGGCCTGGAACTCACAGAGATCCGCCTGCCTCTGCCTCCTGAGTGCTGGGATTAAAGGCATGCATTACCACTGCCTGGCCACTAAAGGGATGCTACATTTCAAGGACAATATAAAAGGGAAGCAAAGCAGAAAAAAAAAAAAAAAAAAAAAACAACCATACATCCTACCACATACCTGCTTCCCTTCCCAGATGTCTAGAGTCACATCCTGGATTTGCTTCTGTAACACTACAAACATCTACAGCATTCAAGAGACAAGTTTAAAGACTCTCCCACTCCAAGTATAGGTAGCAAGTTAAAACAATCTATCTAGCTATCTCCTAATTTCTCTAACACATCTGGATCAAGTTATGTGTCTGGAAAGGAGGGGCAATTTCTATTTGTACACAATTAATCAGCATATGTTAGTATAAATAATGGCCAAATCTTCAGTCCAAATCAGAAAGTTTTAATTGAACAAATCCCTAGAAGCCAAGCATGAGACATACACCTGTAAACAAGCACTTGGAGGTGTGTGTTTTAGGGTGTATGGAGGTGAAGAGAGGACAATCAGGAGCTTACGTCATTCTCAGCTACACAGCTCACGGATACCTAGAGCCTGCCTCAGAAACAAAACAAAGGCCAGAGAGATGGTCCAGTGGGTTTAGGATCCTACAATGCTCTTGCAGAGGACCCAGAACCCAGTCAAGAGGTTCACAAGGACCCAAAACTCTAGCAGCAAGGAATCTAATGCCTTGGCCTCTACAAATATCTGCGCTCACTCACCACAAACGTGCACACAGATACATAATTTACATACTTTTTCAAAAAAGAAAACAAATAAAAACAAAAACAAACATGGATCCACTAGAGAATGCAGCTCACTGGTATAGGCTTTGCCTAGATATGACTCTGAATTCATTCCCTAACACAGAAAAAGGAAAAACTCTAGGGTCCAAATCAACAGACATCCATCCATTTTAAGGCATGTTTGAAAGAACTAGGGATCCGCTAAACTCAAGGTGCACCTCTAGTGTCACATGTACAGCCATGTTCTCATGCTTCAGCAAGAATGTTACAGGACTTTCATAAAAGATGAACTTCTTAACATTTATAAGACTTAACATCATAAGTTAACACACAATACATAATGAAACTATCCTACTTTACGTGCTCTCATGTAACTCTACCAGAAAACACTGAAATACCCTCATTTTAAGCTACTGAGGCATCTTTAAAGAATTTAAATATGCACCTCATGTACCTACCTAGCAAAAACAGACATGTCTATGTCCAAAACTGTGTCTAGATGTTCAGGGCTGAGAATCCTAATCTGTAACCTTGAGGGATTATCTCACATAACACCACACTAGAACACTCCTCATTCTAAAAAGAGGTGGCAGAAGTAATGAAAGAAAACTATAAAAGTCATAAAGATCAAAACAAACCTTTTTCCATCACAGGACATGTAAACAATAGTTAACTTTACAAATGTACAATGTACACACACAGGTGGATCAAATCTACTCCAAATGTGTATAAATTACATACATACAAATTGTCATTAAATAAAACAACCTTCTAAGATGACCCCATGTAGAAACTAGGTCAAAGTGATGGCAGCAATAAAGAAACTTCCCTGCAGGTGGTACTTTATGAGCACACCTTAGCACGGGAATTTCCTTAGGTGACACTGGAAAGGAGCGGTAAGAATAAAATGACTCTTACTTGCAGCTGTCATCCTCAGAATCTGATATTTCACTACTGCTTTCAGCAGCCCCTTCAGATGTTTCCAGTCCCATCATGACTTTACTAACATCAGTTTTAAATACCTTCTCATACAGCAATTCATAAAGGAGAGCTGCAATATAAAGAGGCACAGAATGCAACATTATACGCATGTTTTGAAAACAGGGAAAGTGACAGTACCACTCAGGCTTCCAAAATTCTTAGTAGGTATATATAAAACCTTAGAGTTAATAGCGCCACTTAATCTGAAAGACACCTAGAGAGCAACAGGAAATTTTGTCTGTGCATATTATGTTTGAAACCTTGCTTTAGAGTACATATTTAAAGTACAATTAAGAAGTATCAGACCTATGATGCGAACATGACAGAAAGTGAGCAATGCCTTGGTTCCACACACTCCACTTACGCTCGCTGTGTCCTCGGTTTACTCCCAGCACATGAAGCACTACCGTGTCCAGTCTACCGCCTAGGGATGTCTCACAAAAGGCCTAACCCAAAGGTTTCAGATAGGAAAGATTAAGCAAAATTAAGTTTGTAGATATGCAGAACATTAGAGTACACTAGCTGACAAGTCAGAAGATTGGAATATTAGATAAAGTACTCATTGGGTTCTGTAAAACATGAGGGAGAAGGCTCCCTGTAACCTGGCTTCATATTTTAACTTTGTACACAATGAACTAAAAAAAAAAAAAACTTAGAAAATATATTCTTAGGGACTTGGAAGATAGCTCAGTTGGTAAATACTTGGCTTATAAGCATTAAGAGCATGGTTTGGATCCACAGCACGCACATTAAAAAGCCAGGTGTGGCACCATGCGCTTAATATCCTAGCGCCAAGGAGATGGAGACAGGAGCTGCTCTAGTGGTTGCTGGTCAGCCAGACTAGCCAAAAAGGTGAGCTCCAGCCACATTCAGTGAGAGATCTATCTGGTCTCAAATTTTAAGCTGGAGAGGACATCCAATGTTGACCTCAAGCCGTATCACTCACTGTCCACCCCCATATTTTAGAAACACGCACACGCAAGACAAAATGGGGGGGAGTTGACCTTTGGCTCTCACATGCATATATACACCCACACTTACAAACATTATAATAAGCACACTAACACAAAAAAATGTACTCAGTCATCCCTGAAGGAGAAAATATTTTGATTAATTTTGTCAAATTTAAAAAGTTGACCAAAAATTTAAGAAATATTCAAAACTGTCAGGAGCCATTTCCCCCTATCATTACAGGAACCATCACCCTAGGGAGTCTGCAGAGAACCTCACACCCATAATTACGTTCTATTGACAGAATCTGCCCCTCACCCAATTAACTGTTAATCTATTAGCAGAATACGCCTCACATTCCAGCTACCCAGGGAACCAGGTGTGGCAACTTGTGACTTCTTGGCCTGTCTGTCTGTCTGTCTGTAACCTAGCCTACGTGACCTGGAACACGCGGCAAGAATCCAGTTACCCTCCCCCCCCCCCCCCGTTCCTTACCATATATAAACTGTAACCCGTCCCTAATAAACGGAGGCTTTGACAAATCTGCTTGGCCTCCTTCTTCTGTCTTAGCTCATTCCCTTCCAGGTAGCGCCCCTCCGAGACCCTGGAGTAACCGATTGCCGGGTGGGTTACAACCCCTAGACTGAGTAGCCCACCCAAACGCAATCGACACAAAACCATGTGAACTGTGATACTCATTTATTTATTGCAGTGCACTTCCTGAAACTAAGTGCACTAAGTTCATGCTCACCATCTAAGTGGAGCCCCACAAACCATCTCACAGACCATCTATCTTCCAGATTCTGGGTAAGAGGTGATAAAGTCTCAGAATCACCCACATTCAGTACAGGGAAGGTACTCTAAAAAGGCTTCCTCTTTCGCAACACTGAAATGTCCTGACTTTAGCCAGGAAAGTGGGAGATGCAGTCCAAAAGATAGCTAATAAATATTCCCACCTCAAATATAAAACTTGTACTGTCAAAATGTTCACACTCATACTTTTACTGGATACTTAAAGTAGAAAAAAGTCAGGTGTGGTAGTGCATACCTAATTCCAGTAACTGGGAGACAGAGACAGGTGGTTAGTCAAGAGAGTACATAGCAAGACCCTGCCTCAGAGAACAAAAAGGATAAATAAGAAATCAACTACATACAAAACTACTGCTCATGAGGAAAAGTCACTTAAAGCAGGGAAGGTGGCCATTTCTCTTCTCCTTAAATAGTATTCACATGGTGGGAGGGAAATTTCGTCAACTAGGAAATATTTAGGAAAACCTGTAGAAACTGAGTATCAATGGGGTACCAAATGTGACTCTCCTCGACTGGATAAAGGCTAGGGTGCTAGTAAGCATCCTACAAAGCACAGGAAAACACCCCAAAAGAAGAATCTGGCCAAAAATCTCTACAGTGCTAAGGGTAGGAGATCCTCCCTTCAAATAAAATACAATCAAATGCCTCATTTGTTCACTCACCTGGATTTTCAAGCTATATAATAACTTGAAAAATCAATACATATCCTAACTAAGGCTCTGTAGCTTGAGCTATAATTTCTGTATGTTTGCACACAAGAGGATACTTACACTGACACATAGCAGAACTATCTTTATATGTTATAGGATAGACAATATCATAATGATTTCCATTCGAAAAACACAGTAACACCTGAAGAAAAGAAAATAAGCAACATTTCAGTCAATCACACATTTAACATTCACAAAAAAAAAAAACCTGTTTCCAAAGCCTCTGAATCACTCATTTTCAAAACCGTATTTCAGAAACAACAAAGCTCCAATGTTCTCACACTACAATACACCATATCATGGTGAAAAGCCAGACTGCACTTACATCAAAAGTTTCAAGGCCAGTTTCCACTTTACAGTGAGTTTGAGGCCAGCCTGGGATACTTGAGACTCTGTCTTAAAAACAACAAACAAGTGCTATGATTATAGTTGTGCATCACTACATTATGTTTGAAACATGCCAAGACCAAAACACCGCAGATGGAACACTGAGGTCAAGTCCCTTCTCTCCCCATCCTTAAATGATAGCATTTCATCACTTCCTCTCCCCCTCTTAAACACAATTAAGACACAGTATCCTTCACCTGGACCTGCATGATTCCACTAAACTAATATTCTCTTACAGTGAATCAGCTGGTTTCTTTTCTTTCTAGGCTTCATAAAACTTTTCCACTGTTCCTACCCTATGCCCACACAATGCAGCGATACTGCTGCTACCAAAATGACCTTTCCAGTGGGAAGCAGGCAAAAGCAGTGCTATGTCCACAAGTTGTCGGACTACTTAACATCAGGATGAAACAAATAACCTTGGTCACATAAACATCCATTTTTAAAAAATATGACTTGACTAACTTTAAAAAAACACTATCATAACTTTCATATAGCAATATTTCAAGTCATTTAAAATTACAGCTTAGGAGGTCAACGTACCAATTAAGCAGCTTTTATTTAAATATTTTTTAAATATTTCAAAAAAGTCTTACCTTTTCGGGAAAATTATTTTCAGTTACTTGTGAAGGTGAAACATTTGGCTCCTGATATATTACAAAATCTTTCCTAAAAATAAAACTCAGATATTACTTTTCAAAAAATGTATTTCATTGACTTATTCATTTATCTGTGCATCAGGCAATATTCTAGGCACTGAAGACAGAGCAGGGGAAAAAAAGAAAATGAAATAACCTCACTATAAAATATCGAAAGTAGTGCTTCCAAAAACTAAAATCTCAAATGAATTCATACGTAAGCAATACAGAATAACTGCAAAGATTAATTGTAAAAGGAAATCTGGCACCCATATAAACTCGAGTCCTGTTCCTGGAGCCATTCATTCTACTGGCCCTGAGAGGAAGCCTTTTCTCTATAAAGTTGGTAAACAATAGTTTTTAGAACACAGTAAGACATTTTTTTTTTTCTGTGCCTTTTACCAACAACCCCTCGAGAATTAAAACATTTAAACACTGGTATCTGATGCAATTAAATAAACAGAGAAAAAGCCTTAGAGAAGATCTTCCAAAACTAAGGTATAAAACAGCTTGAATTAAAATTTTTGATTGAATGCACTATACTAATTTTCCAATTATTTTATTTTTACTATTTGATTTGAGAGTTCTACAGTTTACCTGTACATAAGAGAAAGGGCACTTATTTCCACTTGTCCTACCCATTCCTGTATCAAGGGAAGAAAAATTGGCATAAGTATCTCACATTTTATAATATATATTATAATATTCACCATAAACAAGGCCCTCCCTCACCCCCAGGGTTTCTCTGTGCAGCCCAGGCTGGCCTTGGACTCACTCTTGAGACTAGGATGGCTTCCAACTCAAAGAAATTTATCTGTCTCTGCCTCTGCCTCTGCCTCTGCCTCTGGAGTGCTGAGATTAAAGGCATGTGCCACCACCACGGCTTCAGGAAGGAACTTTATGTTTCAATAGCTCTTCCAAATTAAAGACAAAATAAATAGGTGTCACATACTAAAGCAGACTTCTTGAACTACACCTTAGCCTAATTAATAAGGCCTCTCAAATAGTCCCAATGTGATATCCTCTAGTAGAAGACTGTTTAGCTCACAAATACTACACTCTTCACTTCTGCAATATGGGTCACATCACATCTAAAAATGTACATGTTGGGCTGGAGAGATAGCTCAGCAACTAGGAGCACTCGCTGCTCTTACAGAAGACGCAGACTGCAGTCCCCCGCACTCACACAATAGCTTACAATATTGGTAATTCTAAGTTCCAGAGGACTCATCATCTTCTAATGTCCATAAACACAATGTATGTGCAGTGCACATAAATATGTAAAACTAAAACATCATAAACATAAAACAAATCTTTTTTAAAGTAAAATAGCTAGACGTGGTCACAGTGGTGGTATACGCCTTTAATTCTAACACTAGAAAGGCAGAGGCAGGAGAATCTCTGTCCAGCCTGGTTTATAGGACAACTTCCAGAATGGCCAAGGCTGTTACACAGAAAAACCCTGTTGGTGGGGGAGAGGGGCACTAGTAAACAATGTCTTCCTATGGTTAACCTTCCAAATAAGTTCTATTAAACAATCACCATCAACAAAATACCTTCATCTCCCTTAACCAAAGATCAGTCATCAGATATTTCCATTAATAAATATTAATAAATAAATTCTATTTCTTAAAAGAAAATGAGCAGTGGGTAGTGCACACCATTAATCCCAGCACCCAGGAGGCAGAGGCAGGAGGATCTCTGTGAGTTTGAGGCCAGCCTGGTCTACAGAGTGAGTTCCAGACAGCCAATTCTACATAAAGAAACCCTGTCTCAGAAAAAAATAATAAATTAAATAAATAAATAAATGAATGAATAACTGAAAGGTTATTCCTTTTATAAACCTAAAAATGTCAAAATCTAAAAAGCAGATTGATAACTTCCAAGAACCAGGTGGAAACATTAAGCACAAAAAAAAAAAAAAGGAAATTGATTTTTTGGGTTTTTTGTTTGTTTTATTTTGCTTTTCTAGACAGGGTTTCTCTGGAGGCAGAGGCAGAGGCAGGTGGATCTCTGTGAGTTCAAGGTCAGCCTGGTCTACTATAGAGTGAGTTCCAGAATAGGACCCAAAGCTACAGAGAAACCCTGTCTTGAAAAAAAACAAAACCAATTCCCCCCCCCCCTTCAAATCAGTTGGCAAAAGGAACACAGTATTATTCAGTTTTCAGTTTCTGTAACAGATACCTAAGAAAATTAGCTTTTTTATTAAAAAAATACTTTTTTTTTTCTAAACTAGGGTTTCTCTGTGTAGCTCTGGCTGTCCTGGAACTAGCTCTGTAGATCAGGCTGGCCTCAAACTTACAGAGATCTGCCTGTCTCTGTTTCCCAAGTGCTAAGATTAAGAAACTGGGTGTCACCAACACCCAGCAGAAAATCAACTTAAAAAGATTTAGATCTTTATTAACTTTTATTATACGAATATTTTGTCTTCCATGTATGTCTGTTCACCACCTGTATGCCTGGTCCCCACTGAGGTGAGAGGAGGCTATCAGATCCCCTGGAACAGGAGTTACAGCTGTGAGCCACCGGGTAAGGCTGGGAATCAAACCTACATCCTTTGTAAGAGCAATTAGTGCTCTTAACTGCTGAGCCATTTTTCCAGTCTCTTGAGAAAGTCCACTTGTCAGGAGAAGGGATTTTTTTTTTGAGGAAGTGGCCCTTGGAGAGTGCACATGGTACCCATGCACATATCAGCAGCATTAACTGGACTTAGCAGGTTATTTAAAAAAATATCAGGTTGAGAGGGAATAATGGGGGGCATGGCAGGTGTTAGAAGAAGCAAATGGAGGGTATACTTGATCATATTTAATTAATGTTTGAATAATTATTAGTATATATTTCATTATTAGTAGTACATATCTAATACATGTTTAAAGTTCTCACAAATAAAGATTAAACAGAGAAAAGATTAAGTTTGGTTTGCCGAGTCAGAGGTTTCAATCTATGGTAGACTGGCTCCAGTAGCTTGAGCCATGTGGCAAGATCACATCAGGGAACATGTCATAGAATGGGCTGCTCACCTTATGGTAGCCAGTAATCAAAAGAGGAAGAGGAAGACACCACTGTCCCAGAACACCCTTCGAAGGTGTGTCCTGGAGCCTGACTTCCTCTGCCAGGTCCTGCCTCTCAAAGTTTCTACCATCTCCCTGTATGCAGCACTGATTAAGCAACAAGTTTTGAATACATGGGTCCGTGGTGGATATTTCAAATCAAGTTTTAGAATATTCTAATAATTAAATGTTAAAAACAAAATAAGGCATTGTTATAAAACTATGCCAAAATGTAGCATAAAAATCCAAACCAGCATAAATGTGGAAAACAATACTTTTAAGTAAGATTTTAAACTTACATAAAATAATTTTTACAGATTCTATGATATAATTGACATTGATTAAACTATAATACTTAAACAACACAATTTGATGTTTTGGTATAACTGTCTAGAAAACCAACAACAATCAAGATAATGAATATATCATGTTGATGGATACTAAATTGTTTCCTAACTGTTAAGAAGGTAGGAGGGTGGTTCAACATACAAAAATCTGTCAATGTAATTCATCATATAAACAAACTGAAAGAAAAAACCTACATGATCAGCTCACTAAATGCTGAAAAACCTTTGACAAAATCCAACACCCCTTCATGATAAAGTTTTTAAAGGAAACAGGGATGCAAGGAACATACCTAAATATAATAAAGCAATATACAGCAAGCCAACAACCAACAGCAAATTCAATGAAGAGAAACTCAGAGATTTCACTAAAATCAGGGACAAGACAAGGCTGTCCACTCTCTCTATAGTGATATATTATTTGTGTTTTAATAAATGAAGCTTGCCTAAAGATCAGAGTGCAGAACTAAGCCACTAGAGTCCAGGAGATGGGGCACACACCTTTAATCCCAGGACTCAGTGCCACCCTGGACTACCCAAGAGTGAATCAGTCTAACAGAGAAACAGAGCTCACACCTTCGATCCCAGCACTTGGGCTGACACGTTCTAATCCCAGCACTAGAGAAGAATGTATGGCAAGAGTTCAGTGCAGTCTGGGTACAGTCTGAGGTCTGGTGGCGAGCACGGCACTCTACAGTCACACTAGGACAGGATCGCCTCTTTGTATGTCTGGGCCTTGGTAGAGGTCAGAACCTCTAGGGGCTTGGCTGTTTTGCTTTTCTGGTCTTCAGCTTGAACCCTAATATCTGTCTCTGGGTTTCTATTATTTGTGCTACATCTCCATATCTATTCAATATAGCATTCAAGGTTCTAGCTAGATCAATAAGGCAACAAAAGGAGATCAAGGGGATGAAAATTGGTAAGGAAGAAGTCAAACTTCCATTATTTGCAGGTGATATGATAGTATCCATAAGTGACCCCAAAAGCTCTACCAGGAAACTCCTACAGCTGATATTCAGTAATATGGCTGGATACAAGATTAACTCAAAAAAATCAGTAATCCTCCTATATACAAATGATAAATGGACTGAGAAAGAAATCAGAGAAACAACCCTTTACAATGGTCATAAATAATATAAAATGTCTTGTGGTAACTCTAATCAAACAAATGAAAGACCTTTATGACAATAATTTAAAGTCTTTGAAGAAAGAAATTGAGGAAAATAACAGAAAATGGAAAGATCTCCATGCTCATGGATCGGTAGGATTAACATAGTAAAAGCAATCTACAGATTCAATGCAATTTCCATCAAAATCCAAACACAATTCTTCACGGACCTTGAAAGAACAATACTCAACTTTATAGGAAAAAACAAAAACCCAGGATAGCTAAAACAATACTGCACAATAAAGGAACTTCTGGAGGCATCACCATCCCTGACATCAAGCTCTACTGTAGAGCTGCAGTAATAAAAAGAGCTTGATATTGGCACAAAAATCAATGTGGATCAATGGAATAAAACTGAAGATCCTAACATAAATCCACACACCTATGAACACCTAATTTTTGACAAGGAAGCCAAAAATATACAATGGAAAATAGAAAGCATCTTCAATCAATGGTGCTGGCATAACTGGATGGTGGCATATAGAATGAAAATAGATTCATATTTATTGCTCTGCACAAAACTCACATCCAAGTTGATCAAAGACCTTAAGATAAATCCAGTTAAACTGAAGCTGATAGAAGAGAAAGTAGGAAGTAGCTTTGAATGCATTGGCACAGGAGACTTCTTCCTGAATATAACACCAGTAGCATAGACACTGAGAGCAACAATTAATAAATGGGACCTCCTGAAATGGGAAAGCTTCTATAAGACAAAGGACACTGACAATAAGACAAAACCACAGCCTACAGAATGGAAAAAGATCTTTACCAACCCCACATCTCACAGCAGACTGATATTTAAAATATATAAAGAACTCAAGAAACTAGACATCAAAATACTAAATAATCCTATTAAAAAAACATGATACAGATTTAAACAGAGATTTCTCAACAGAAGAATCTCCAATGGTCAAAATACACTTAAAGAATTGCTTGACATCCTTAGCCATCAGAGAAATGCAAATCAAAATGATTCTGAGATCCCATCTTATACCTGACAGAATGGCTAAGATCAAAATGGCTAATGATGTCCTATGTTGGAGAGGATGTAAAAAGTCAACAAGACACTTTGCCACTGCTGGTGGGAGTACAAACTTGTCAGTATGGCAGTTCCTCAGAAAACT